GGAAAAAGGCCGAAACTATAAAGGAAATTTGTATGACTTTATGAGGAGACAAAGGCTGAGAGAAGGGCAGTGACAGCTGGAGGTGGAGAGGAGCGGAAAAAAACAGCGGCGCGTTTTGTGGTTTAACTGTCATGGTTTGACATAAATGGCCGCACAGAAGATTGGCGAAAATCACGCACACTCTTGCGCATATTAGTGTGGGTCGAATTTTTACAAAGGCATAATTAAATTTTGCTTAAAGACGCTGGATATAACAAAAATAATTATTTCAACGAAGTAATAAATATATTAATTTAAAAGAAAATTTGAAAATTTTTATATCAAAAATGTGTCAAATGGGAGAAAAATTTTATTTAAAAAATTTAGTTTTTCAATTGAAAAAAAAACAAACAGTTTTATTTTTGTTAAGTCGCTGAGCAGGTCCGTTCAATTGGAAAAAGGATATTTTTTTTAATAAAATGTTTTATTAAAGTAATAAATATATCAATTAAAAAATGTGTTAAATTTTTATATCAAAAATGTGTCAAGTGGGGAAATATTAATTAGAAAAATTTTTTAATTTTTTTTTTCCAAATATGAAATAAATAAATAAATGTTTTATTGAAGTGTTTTATTAAGTTTTTAATTAAAAAAAATGTTAAAAATTGTATGCGCTTAAATTCAACATTTTATTAAAAAATTATGTTTTACATTCAAATAATTTTTTTTACTTTAAAAATCTTTCTTTCGTAAAGTTTTTTTTCAAAAATCTTTAATTATTTTATGCAAGCTTATTTATTTTAATAAATCAATTTGTCAGTTCAAAATTGTTTACTTTAATCTACATTTAAAAAATTTGTTTTTGTTATTTATGGCCTTACAAAAATTATATTCAAAAACTTTATTGAGCTTGAGGCCGTTTATAATGAAAATTTTTGTCGAAAAACAACAATTTACATTTTGGTAGAAGTTATATCTACTATTTTTCCTCGATACGAATTTTCCTACCCTAATGCACATAAGTATGCATGTCTGTACTTCTATGCTCGCCTAGAGGACTGCCGTGGGCGGACAAGCAAACGTTTGTAGGGCATTGTAAAGTTGACAGCGATTTGACAGTTACTATTCGTTGTCAACCTCAATTTGGGTCAGGCACATGTGAACGGCAGCCCTTTTTTTGCGGCGGCCAAAACTTTCAGAGAACCGGGTATAAGTAATAGTAACTAAATTAGATTATGCTATGAAAATAAAGTCAATAAAATGTGAAAATTAAAAATCTAAAAAAAAATGCTAACCAACAGCCACTTGAGGTTGCTGAAAGGTAGAACGGAAGGATGTGGATTTGGATTGGAAATGATTTTGAAGACAAACTTTCTGTATTGTTTTTGGTATGATTTTGAAATACAATAACAAATTATAAACATGTATAAAAAAAATGCCTTGCGCAAGAGTGTTTTAGAGTGATTATTATGTATTCATGTATTTATGTTTGTATGAAGTGGATATGAATGGTTTCAGCAGTGGAATGAATGGAATTTTTGTTAAAAAACATATGTTTAAGATATGGAGCTTCAGCAATGTACCGTCAATTTCAATATTACTTTTTTAATCCACCAAAAAGCCTATATTTAGCATGTACATCTCGGCTATGAACTGTTGCTCGATCTGAAACCCTAATCTAGGTAAATTTTTTGGATGGGAATTTTGCCTTTTTCTCAGAATTTGTTAACATTTTTCCCCGACTTAACAATATGATTTATAATCGAAAATTCAACATCACTCAAGAACAAAACATATTCCGCCGAGGAAATTCTTTTAAGCTTTCTTTTAAGCTTTTGGAACGCAAATAGAGTAAAGGCTCCCTGTTATCGTCACTGATGTAAAACCTACAGAGGATCGGAAAAGCGTCTTCCCATAGCTACATTTTGAACATCATTGTGACAGATAAATGGCCAGAGCTTTCACCCGGTGTGCAAAAATGCTTAGGCAGCTTTAAAAAGCTCTTAACGCAAGTAAGGTTTTGACGTTACACAGCGGTAACAAGTTAAAACAAATCTCGCGTACGAAGCTTTTCAAAGCTTTCTGGAAATTTTATATGAACACGCATAGGTTAAAAGCTCTATGTTGCCGCTGCTGTTATACATAAGTACATATATCAGTTATATATCGCTGGAGAAGGTTTTGCATGGAGAGTAAAAGATTCCCTCTGATCTACACTGATATAAATGCTCTTTTCATTTCTTTCATGGGCAGTGGTGGGCACAGCCGTAAAGCTGAGCTTAGTGTAATACCTAACCATGCGCGTCAAATATATATATCATAAATTTTGTATCAGCGATGGGCAGAATCTTACCCGCTATGCTTTTTTAAGCTTTCTTATAATTTTGTATAGGCATGCAAAGGGTTAAGCACTCCTCTGTTAATTGCTTTGTTATATGGACGAGCTCAGAGTAATAGCTCTCTCTGTGATCGTCACTGGTTAACATTAACTCATATTGTCTTTTTTTAGGCCCTTTTTTGATTGAGACATGCATGCAAGCTTCCATGGAAAATCTATGGATAGCTTTAAAAAGCTTCTCCAGCGAAAAATGTGTTGGGATCTGTGTTATTGACTGAACAGTTTGATAAATCTTCTTATAAATTTGTAGAAATATCATTAAGCATAGAAAATTATTTAAATTCTAAATAAATTCAAATTGGTCAGAGAATTTTAACAACTAAGTTCTCATTAAATTTGAATTTCTCAAATTTTCACCTAAGTTCACAAAAATAGAATAGATTTTAATGCATTTATTGTATAAAGATTTCAAATCTTTGTATTTTCTTCGACTAATCCAATTATTTTTTCATCTCGCACACACACGTACAAAGCGCTTTTCGCACACACATAAAAGTATACATTTTCCGCTCTATTTGTTACAGCCTTCCGTTGCAGCTGAAAAGCAAAAAAAAACCTTCAAACATTTTGCACAATTTTAAATTAAAAATGCGCAGCATTCACCCAATTATTTTTGCTGGAATTTCCATATTCTTGACACGATAATCATGTTTATTATAAAAGCAAAAAATAGGAAAAAACAGTATTGACAGCTATGCGCCCTTTCCCGCATTTTTTCTCACTCCCCTGCCCTGTTGCCGTCGTAGCTTCGTTGTAAACCTTATCATTCATTATCAACGTTTTTTGTTCCGTTGTTCATTCATATTCTACAGTTATTTTCTAATTAGTTGCTTATTTTGTTATGCAATTTTCTTTTTCCTCGCTCTAAAAACGCTCAAGTGCAGTCACATTTAGTTTATTTTTTTCTCGTTACTCTTTGTTGTTGCATTTATTGCAATTATTTTTGCGCATTGGCTAATAATTTGGTATTGGAATTTTTTCTTTT